GATCTCTGTAAGTCGGCAGTGACTTGAAGTAAAAAAAAAGATGCGTCATGGCGCACTCATGCGCTTCAGCCCACTTTTTGGGCATCGGCTCCTCTTGACTTTCTCCCACCTCATCCGTCTGTCCCCAGCGACGGCTTATGAAAACAGGGATGTGGGAGAAAGCATGTTTTCTCAGCTGCTGCCCTTTGGCAGGGGAATGTGTGAGAATCCAGAACAAGTGTGGTCTCATCAGTAGCGGCCGACTTGCTTCCAGAATCAATACGATGCCTCTTGGATGCTACAAGAGCCCCCGAATTGCCTATTAACGAAAGGAAGGTTCGTTCGGTCAGCCGTCCATCTGCGCAAAAGAAAGGGAAAAACCGTCCTCCGGTCTTCTGAATCGTGCTTCGGGGGGTGGGGTTTCTTGTGGTGAGTTAGTGTGAGCTAGCTCATAGTTTTTTAGCCTCCGGCTCACGCATTTTTGTCTTGGCTCGGGAAGGAGGGCTCCAGAGCAAACTGAGTTATGCAGGAGTCCAATGGCTCGCTCACAACCTGAATGCCAGCAGCTCAGAAAGTGGAGTTTTTGCTCACAAGACTCCACAGCTTAGAGGGAGCGTTGCTTGCCTCTTTCAACCTTCGACTGACGTTGGCCTTCTTTCCAGACATGAAGGCAGTCTGAGTAATTGCCGGCCACCCAGCAACTGGCGTGGATTTACTAATCATGGAGGGCAGCTACGGGTCGTCTTCTGGCCCCTGGAACTCTGCCTCCTCTCGTGGGGGACCATTTCCCAGTGAGGGGAAAACTGGAGAGGGCCTGAGCGAGATAATCGTCCATAAGCGTACCGGCAGTGGATAGTGGCCCATTGGGGGTACATAAGGAGATATGGGGAAATAAATCAGTGGGAGATTTTTCCTTCCCTCAGTCTCCCTATTCAGGATATTATGGATTCTCAGGGGTTCAAGTGGATCGCTCTCTCTCTCCCCATCTGTCTGCTCTCACCTATCATCCATTCGTCTGTCTGTCTGTCTGTCTGTCTGTCTGTCTGACTGTCTGTCTGTCTGTCTGTCTGTCTGTCTGTCTGTCTGTCTGTCTGTCTGTCTGTCTGTCTGTCTGTCTGTCTGTCTGTCTGTCTGTCTGTCTGTCTGTCTGTCTGTCTGTCTGTCTGTCTGTCTGTCTGTCTGTCTGTCTGTCTGTCTGTCTGTCTGTCTATCTATCTATCTATCTATCTATCTATCTATCTATCTATCTATCTATCTTATCTCTATCATCTATCTTTCTGTTTATCATCATCATCATCATCATCATCTATCTATCTATCCTCACCTGTCATCCATCCATTCATCCATCTCTCTCTATATATCATCTATCTGTCTGTCTGTCTATCATCTATCTATCAACCATCATCATCTATCTATCTATC